GTCATTCAGGTCAGTATCAAGAGATGCTGTGAAACCAGAACCAAGGTCCTGAGGATCCATCCTCGTGTAAGGGGAAAGCAGAACATCGGGATGATTGTGTGGGAGCTGTGTGGCCAGGGGTGCAGCCAGGAGCACTGCAGATACGCTGTCTGAGGGGGGGAGGAAGATTATCTTGTCCCACCTTGTGCCACTTGTCCCTTGGACCCAAGAGAAGAGCATGGAGCATGCTTTGCTGCTTCACAAGGTCTCAAGCCCTGGGGTGCAGTGCAGTGTGCTCAAGGGGAGCACAGATGCACAGTGTCCTGAAACACTGGAGTCTGCAGAGCCCTCTGTGCAGCACCTCCCATCCTCTCCCTCCCCTTGGCACCTCGGAAATGCAGGGAAACAGCCTCTTACACTGCAGCTCCCTTCGTAATAACGCTGCCTATATCCCAGAAGAGGATGGAGGTGAGATGTGCCCGTGGTCTCGGAAGGGAAAAATCCAGGCTGATGCTCCAAGGAGCTTGTTAGTGTGTCTAGAAAGTCTCACATTCCCGTAACTCATCTCAAACATTCCTAGGATTAGCTCATTTAGTCTATTTTTAGGCAGACACCCTCTTCCAAGGATGCTCTCTTTGGTGTCCTGTCCCTGAGCTTCCCATGCCCACTGCTTACCCTGCAAAGAGCTGGAGGGAAAACCCTCCTGGCTGTGCTGGGACCTCTCCTGGGGAAAGTGGGACCAGGCTCTGAGGCTCAGCTCACAGCCAGAGAAGCTCTTGCCAAAGGGGAAAGAGCCGTCCTGGGAGAGGAAAAGGGAGCATGGCAGTGGGGGAGAGATATTTGAGTAGCAGTTTTGACATGGCCAAAACCCTCCTCATCCCAACCCCTGGAGACCCTTTCAGAGGCTGAAATGCTGCTGAACAAGCAATGATGGAGGCTGTTGGCTGGGGGTTGCTGGGGGAGGATGGCTTCTGCTGCTGGATGCTGCTGGGTCATGTTGGAGTGCTCCTCACTGCCCCAGAAAAACATCCTCCTGTGGCAACGCTCGCGCAGGGGCTGCCCCATCACAGGGCTCCTGGGGCTGATCAAACACCCAGGGTCAGCGATGCTGTCGGGGATTTCATAAAAGCTTCTTTTTGCTGCTGAACTTCCTAATTACTCTTGTTAGAGCAAAGAGGGAGGCAGCTTTGTCTGACAGTTCCCCTTCTCCCCACAGACCCTGGGCGGGCTGCCCCTGCTCAGGCACCCGCTGCCCCTGCTCCAGGTGCTGGCACCCCTGGTGCTGGAGGGACGTTAATATTTGCTGTGTGATACCACAGTGCTCTCTGCTCTGCAGGCAAAACACAGCATAACCATGGCAACTTTTTTCCTGAACCTCATCAGCACGCCCTGCTAATCTAGGCAAGTCACCCTGCAGCCCTTGCAATGATTAAGCTGGGAGTAATGAGCTCTCTAAATCCTGGGTGTCCCGGCAGTTCCTCCT